TCAGGAAAGTACGCAAAATCTAAAAAGAATTTCCCCAAGCAGTAAACAACACATTGTAGGCTAGTGAATTTGGGAAAAATCGGGTGAAAATTCTTGGGTGTGGTCGTGGTGTTTAAACTTACAATTTATACTATGTATATATAAATTGTATAAAAGGAAATAATGAGTAGTGTAGACTGTAGAGTACAACAAACAAACAAACAAACAAGCCGGGCACAATATGTGATTATCATAGTGATTTTAACGCACGTTACCTATAGTATAACGGGCAATAAACGACCAGATATTTTGTTATTCATGATAAAACTATTTGTAAATGTGTTGTGTATTTGGTTGATCATCTGCACGGGATTATAGGCAATTTTACAATTTTATTTACGTTAAGAATTAGAGTATGGTGTCGTACATGAAAATACGTCTTACAACGGACTGAAAAATCACACTTTCTTCATACTGTTGAACTTTCTAAACTTGAGTGGCTAGAAGGAGACTCAGGAGAGTATACAAAAATATACTGTATTGCTAAATTCACAAAGTTGTAGAAATCTTTTTGGATGTTGGTGATATAACAATTATTTATCATTTTTTGAATTTTCATGTACAGTATATATGAACTTTCTATGAATTTTATCTTTTTAAAACGCTTGGCACATTCAAACACTTGATTAACACACACACGTGGGCGGTCGCCCGGTTATCAGTAGGCTATATGGCGGGTATTGGATTAGTTAGCCTGCCATTTGTTTTCAGATGCATGGTCTTGATGACGGATGAAACCGTAACTGACCAGGGGTTAAGTGAATCACTCCACTGCGGCTTGAGAGTCCAGCTATCCTCTTGCGCATAATTATCCTCACATGGGATTCGAACTTGCGAACGTACGCGGGGTAATTAAAGGTGCGGTGATGAGCGTATTCCTAACGCTTAGCACGATGCGCCACGCTGTCGAGCCATCATATCATTGATTTTAAGCTTTATCGCCAATATTTATTCTTGCAACAGTGGACATACAACGCGCAGGACATTGTTTAAAAAAGGGGTTATCCGATAATCGTGAATGTTGTGCCGAACACAAGTTACACGTACATACATGAATAAATAAATAAATAAATACCCATATAAAGCAAAAAAGTTATTGTGATTTGTGAATTGGTTGGTGATATGATAATTTCAATAACTTTATAATTTAGCTCAAGCTCTCAGTGGATATGGCAAGACGTCATTAATATTCACGAAAAAGCGTACTGACCAACGTACTAGAATCTTTATACGCGTTGATTGTTTCTCGGTGACATCTTTATCAAGACTTATACAGTTCAATTGAAATATGAAAAACTGCGCTTCAACTGAATTCTTTCCACACCCAAAAATAGCGAGTGTTTTTAAAACTGGACGGATTAATAGGTGAATGCAGTCAGTATGCTTCGCCGTGAATTACGGTATGCAACAGACGCGTAAAATACTCACTCGTTTACTGAGAGGTCTGGGTGATAGGCTCACAATCAAAGCCTATTTTGTGATTGAATAATGTGACCACGTTAATGATACAAACGAAGAAGCTTTATTATAAAACAAAAAATAAGATATTTCGATAAGGAGAGAACGACTATACCACTATGGTGTATAGTTGCGAACTATCGGCTTATATATCTATTGGAAATACAAAAACGAATTTTCACATCAGAACGAACTTGGTTAACTTTCGTATCAATGACTTTTAGTCAAAATAAAAACGCACGGACCAAAGGTAAGTAACAACTGCAAAATGGTCAACCATAGTTTCATATTTCCCGCCAATGCCATAGAACCACTGTTTGGCCGGTCAAGAATAAACTACCAATAAAAACATATTGACTCAAGTTTCATTGATCAAGCAACATAAAAAGGCTTCGGCACAGTACATTCTGAGCTTTAAAGGATTAGGTCGAATGGCATGTGTTATGTTATGTAATTAGTGTAATAAGCTTAAATATGTGATCAATAATTGATTTGCTGTTTTAAAAATATGTGAACATGTGGCAAGAGCAATGTTGCTTTCAAACGAAGAGGCTTCATGAGCCATATAACTAAACGGTTGTCGATGAGTGCTCACTAGTTTCGTATTGAAGATCTTCGACTGGGCGTCATCGTAGTGCTTTAAACGAGATTTACGACATTTCAGCGTGAGATAAATTAAATTGAAATTTTTTCGTTATATTATTCGTGTATATATTCATTATTGCTTGTACATGATTATTTCAAGCAGTAAGCTTTGAAAAGACCACTAAAATGCCCCGTTTTCAATGGTTTATTCGTGATTTTAGTACAAAATTTATATAAAGAAAGAAGTCAATTGAAGACAGCGTTAAATGCACAAGTGTCGAATCCACCCAGCTCTTTCTAAGGTATACATGTAAATCTCAATATTCGCTGATTATTTGTTGCCCGAAATCATATTTGGACCAACGATTTATTGTTAACCATGGGTAGCGGCAAGAATCAAATTTGACAGTTTACAAGATAACGTGACACAATATGCATGAAGTGCATAATTGAGTCAAATCGCATAGTCTTTACTCTGGGAAACTATTCAAAGACAATGAATAAATTAAAGTATTTTAAATTTACTGACTGGTTTATTGTTTATTGCATTTTGTCATTCCTTTGTTGTTGAACTGATTTCTCATTGGCTATTGTGTTGCGTTGGGTTGTGAAGTTTTAACGATTTCTTATTAGCATTAAGAGTCAAGTGTAAATTGCCAATGACTTTGAGCGATAAATTTTACGACAGCACGTATACAGTACATGGTTTAAACATTGATTTAAAACGATTTAAAGCATTATATGCGCGAATGCTAGCTTAGAACGCAGTTTGGTTTATGTGCAGGCATGTGGCCATGAGAACCAAATAAAGTCAGGAGCAAATCAATTTTGAAGTACATCTTATTTTTGCTATTTTTGTTGAGTGAAAGAGAGGGGTATGAATGGATGAAAATTTCAATTAATATTACGAATTGAGGTAGATTGTTACGAAAACCATAAGGTGAAGACACTGTATTCCTACGCACTAAGTTAGACTTTATGAAGTCCTGGAAAATGGCGAAAATATATTGTTAAGGCCAACATTTTGCCAAATGATATGTGAAAGAGACAAAAACTTTGCGCGTATTTTTAACCCATAAAGCATACAGATGCACTCACGCTGATATCATGATTAGCTACTTTCAACGCATTACATTAAAACTAAATATCTTTTTCTTAACTAAATTTCGAATTCTACTGCATGATAACGTGTAATTGCTCCCATGCAAAACCGGCAATATTACAGTCAAATCAATCTGTTGTGCTATGGAATAAAGAAAACGTTATTTTACGCATGTCATTGATCCGGAACCAGCCTCATGATAGTGCTAAGATTGACATAAACAAACGAACGTGCACAGATATACGGCTGCGGCAATTCCGGCCGGCATCTCACGGCTTTCGCCGAATATGTACGTATTGTGAAGCGCGCTGTTGTAAGTTATAGACTTAACATTAGACTTGTTTGCGTGGAAACAATAACCGTATTCGCAAACGTTGTCTGAGGCAGCGCGAAGGATATATTATGTGTATGCTATTACTGTTTGTTCAGAGCATATTATGCAATATAATTAGTGTTGACTTTGACAGCAACATGACATTCAAAAACCGAACTGCCGAGCATATCGTTCGCTCTTCAAAATTTGTTTTCAGTTCGCTTAAATTGTGTCTATATGTATACCACATTGGCATTGTGGTATCTTAAATTTGTCAAAAATTGTTTGTCGGGAAGAATGGAATAGGTATGATGTTGGCAATGGGATAGAACAGTTTTTTTCATATTAACTCAAGTGGAATGAAAGGAGAATAGACGTCTTTATCATATGACATACGGCGACCTTTCATTTTCAGAACCTTGGCATTGACTTGCTAGCTCAAGTCTTGATTCTAGAGCAGTTATTATCTCATTGAAGCAGAGAAGTCTTGTTCAGCATAGCCTTAGAAATGAACTATATAATTAGAAATCTTCTTCAAACTATAAAGGCAAAGCTTAATGAACTATTGAACCATTCATTGACTGGTGTCGATCGCGAGTAAACAAATTCATAGTCGTCAGCGAAAAAATAGATTTTCGAATGTCATTGTGTTCAAAATATATTTTATGGTATGTCTTCACACTAGCGCTCCGAACGAGGCTTTGTACAATCAGTCAATAATACGCAAGAAGCAAGTGTTCTTGGAAAACCGGAATCTTAAATATGTATACAAGATGCATTCATTCTGTTTCAATAATACCAGGCTGGAAAGCGAACATCAGGTTTACTATTCAGCTAGTTAGTCGAAGTTTATTGAGGCAAATATATTCGCGGGTTACGCATTACAAACACGTTTTTGGCTATTACCATATTCTGCTTATTGCTGAGTTTAATGGTACTTATATGTGTAGACACTATGAAACTACATTGATCATCTAATTTGTATAATGGATGGAAAATTGTCATCGGACCGTTTCGTCCATTGAAGCAATACAATCGTGTGTTGTTTACTTCTAAACTGTTTCGAATTGCTGTTCTCGTACACGTTGAAGCGAATAAAACAAGCACTTCAGAATAAATTGTGACTCGCTAAATGACACTTGAAGGCGTACAATATGCACATGGTCGATTGGGAATAAATACACGAGTTATAGTTACGCATGCCATCTATCGTTCGAAGGAAATAAGCTACCGATTATGTGAAAAGTACCACTGAGCCATCTTTAGACGACATATAACAGAGATGATACTTTTAAAAAAATTAGTTAGTTTTAAGCTTGTTAGCTTTCAAAGTAAATTTTCGAGCGAACGCATAAGAGTACAGAAAGTTTCTATGGATGATTGTTGTATACTGAGACCCATAAAACTGAACCGGTGGTTATTTGGAACATATTCCAGAGAGAGCAAAGGGTCTTAAATTATAAGAACTTTTGAGTACAATCATACAAAAAAACACTATCAACGTGCCACAATCCATATATAAACTAGAATTATTTTACCAAGCCTATAGAACTTCTATTAATTAGAAATGTCTGCTGAAAGCGCCATGTTAGAGAATAAAAGCACCAAGGACGTGGAAGATCAAAATAATAATAATGATTCCGATTTATTCATACCAAATGGAGAAGAAAAGATGTCAGAAAGAAAGAACTCTATTTCATCGGATGGTGACACAATTACTAGTAATGAATCGACACTGTCTTTCAGCTTCGCGTCTTTCTTGCTTATCATCATTATTAACGCTGCAAATTTTGTTAATGTAAGTATGAGGTATTTTCTTTATATACTGACTTGAATTAAATATATTCTATATCGAATAATACATTTCCATAAGCCCGTTTGATAGAGAATACTACTACTTCATACTAGTTCAATAATTTTCTTGTAACAAAATTCGAATTCTGAATTAAATGTAAAAAAAGAAAAAACATTTTGCACTATAATTTTTCTCAACATCCCATTTATTATGCACAATTTCTCATTTGTGTGGACAGGGACTTTACATGGCTGTACCGGGACCAACCCTACTGTTTTTGGCTGAAAGTGTATCAAGCGACGTGGGACAAGTTTCGACCATTTTGGCCGGGAGGTCCGCTGGAAACTTACTTGGTGCTTTCGCTGCATCGTTAATTTCGAAAAACAGTGGCAGATACTTTAATGCTACAATGAAACTGGGTGAGTATGTTATTATGGGAGAATTTCATGTTCTATGTTTGTCTTAGATACTTGCCTCAACAGGGTTAATATACATTTGGCCCATGCCCTAACGACCAAAGTCGCAACGAATACTGAAACTCGATAACAAATCAGACTCGAGTGTTTTGGTGGTTTATAACCTACAATTACGTACTTTAAAGCAGTTAATCGAAAAAGACGAACGAAATATTATTTAGAATTGATTTCGAAATTAATGCGAAAAATCGCCCCAACTTTCTTCTCCATCCAATAAAGCTCACAGTCAACATAACTCCATTGTGAGCTGGCTTAATGTCGAAATTGTAATTATTCATTTTCAGGTCTATCGTTCATTGTTGCTGGAGCGCTGACATTGTCCATTCCCTTTGTGAGCGAATTATGGATATTAATCGCTGTTTTGAGTGTAGGAGGATTTCTCTTTGGATTCAGCAATACAGGTATCAATTAAACTTATTTCTACCACCTCCTCTATCTCTCTCTCTCTCTTTCTTCCGGTATCCCTAACATAAGTCATCCAAACAGATAGAATGTAGTCTCTATGATGGGTGCGCTGTACTATAACTGTACTAAATATTTTATTTTAGGATTTTTAGCGATTCAATTGGACATCTGGGGTGAAAAGAAGTCCAGACCTCTCATGCAACTTTATCAGGGGATTTTCAGCATGGGAGCAATGATGGCGCCGTTGATAGGTAAGATAAAATTGGTTTTCAAATGAAGATATCTGGTAGAAGTAATAACATAAGAATTCAAATCATCGATATACACGATTACGGAGTAGTATGGCTTACAGTAAAAAAAAAATGTTGATCTTCTGATTTATCAATGTCTCTTGTCGAATAAAATGCAAATGTTGGTTCACGAAAATCCTATTTTTCAGCAAGCCCTTTTTTGGGAATGGCTGCTGAGGGTTCCTATAAAAAGCCAAACACTCCATCGTGTTCCAAGGACAATGCCACTGACGCTTTATCAAATTTGACGATCAATGGTCAAAACGGAACTGTATACGAATCACAGACAGTCGTAAGTAAAATTATCTTTTTCGGTTTAAAGCATGCCACTCATCAAAATGCTGTAAAACTGAGGGATTATGGCAAGACTAACTACGTCAATATGTATGAAACTCATTTGGTCGAAGATTCCGTTACGTATAAACATGGTATTTACTGAGAAAAATACAAAAAGTGGCGTTTCGCTGAAATAAGCTGTGCTCTCAAAACCATCCTTATATTGTTTTATAACTGTTTAATTAATTTAATGTTGTAAATTTATTTTAGATTGATATCAATCCAGTCACATGGATCTACATCATCATTGGAGCTCTATCATTATTAATTGCAATTATTATGATTATCTTATCTCTTGGTGGCATCGAAGGTAACATAGAGTAGCATTAGTCAAGATTCTGCTCTTTATGTTTGGGTAGTTAAACAACTTTCCCTCCTTTTGAAGCGTACGAAAAGTGCCGCACACCTGCTTACCATCTGTCTATTCCAATAATATGGTCATAGTAAAGCTAATAACGCCCTATGTGGAAAATATCAATTATATATTATGTTCTGGGTTGCGCTTGAAAGCAAATTTTCAAAGGTGATAAATTTTTAATGCTTGGATCTATATGTTTGTGAATTTTTTTATCCTCTAGACGGGGCAAGAGTTGGTGAAAAAGTTTCGTCTGAATCAAGGCCAGAGGAACCTTTATCAAGAGTTGCAGTTGTCTTGTTGTGCGTCATTTGTTTTTACGCGTTCCAGGTAAATAAAATCTGTGTTTTTCAACGAATCATAAACTAGTAGCCGAGACATTAGTATGGCTAAATTGATATTCAGTGAATATTTCGGGTAGAGATATCTCTATTCTAAGCAAATGTGTAAACCATCTTATAATATTGTTTTTGTACCAATTGTTTACCTGCTGAATATAATTCTATCCGGTCTAAGTCAAAAGATGCATTTGTTTGGCTTAAACGGAGCTTCGACGACGTAGGTGTTCATGCTGCTAATTATTCGCTTTTCCGTTGAATATTTTGCAATGAGGCAGAACAATTCCGCCCTTTCATTGTGATCCAGCAGAGAAATATTTTGAAAAATACTTGAATATTTTATACTTTTGGGAAAGAATTAATTTTACTGTAATTTATTATATATATGTATATTAACCGTGGGAAAGATGATTGATTTCCTAAACGAATAATATTATTCATTACAGGTCGGATCAGTCAACGTATTTGCCAGTTACATATATTCGGTATCATACTGCTCAAAACTTCAATTTTCTGTAAGTTTAAAATTCCTTATTTCATTTTTCAAGACCAAATAATAGTTAGTTATTTAGTCCGCTTGCGACGATAAACGTGCTATGAGAATATTTTCAACGCGCGATTGCTTTTTATTACTAAGTCTTTCAAAACTGTTTGTTCCTTTATGAAAACACGTTTGACTATAAAGCCTTTCCACCAGAAAACGGATGGTTTAGGTGTGATAATCATTAACATCCTGGTTTGCATTCATTATACAATACTTTTATCTTTTCAAGGTATCAACAGCGTCATCTCTCAATTCTTTGTACTGGGGCCTTTTTATTGTTGGAAGATTAATAGCGTTTGTTGCAGCGTCGAAACTACGACCATCTACGTTAATTACTGGGTGTATTTTTACTTTATTGACATCAACGGTAATCCATTGCTTTTGTTGACTTCCAGTTTATATTTTGAACGCGCGCCTATGCTGTTGTACGTTATTGGTTTATCTACATCAGATACGAAATTGGACTTTCAAATATATTTCATTTTAATACAATTTGTCTTAGATTAGATACTGTATGCTCTATTCTATACTTGTAACCAGTACATAAACTTATATGTGTATACATAAAATAAATGAATACGTCCTACAAATGTACTACACCACATCTTCCCACCAAAGTGTTCCATATGCTATATACCCCTACCCCTCGTTTCACACTTCTGTCCGTTTATAGAGCTAGAATAACAAAATTCGTGTAAACGAAAAAGTATAGACTAAACAAAATTTTCCAAACCCATTTAGGCTATCATGTCTGCCCTAGGAGAAGAGCATGAGTTTGTTGCTTGGGCAACTACTGGAATGTGGGCACTTGCAATATCTCCACTGTTTGGATCAGGTGAGAAAATTCCAGTCACTTTCGATGGGATTTGAAAACTTTGTACAAATTATTTAAAAGTTTCAGGAAGCACGTTTCCATCAAATATTTGAGTATTATATTTTTAAACTAAATTTTCATTGATTACATTGCTTATCACTGATATAAAATGATACTGGATTGCTAACTTTTGTTATCATTTTTCGTTGACGAATGAAATTGGATTCATCAAATTTTAGGAGTGTCCTGGGTTTCACAAATAACAAATGTATCTGGAAGATATGCTGTCATATTTGAAATCGGAGCAGCTATCGGAGCTGTAGGAGCGTTTCCAATTGCTGGAATACTGTTTGATATTAACCCATACAGCGTGGTACGTATTTTATTCTTTGAAAGAAATGCTGTTGCGTATTTCAGATAATGGCCGAGTTTGCTTCAGCCGACATTTTAATATTTTTTCCTCAAATAATGGAGTTTGGTGGGATTTTGAACAATTTTACTGAGACTTTTTTCTCACTTTTCTCTCCGCAGCCCATGCCACTAACAATGAAACGTTAATATTCAAATTTTGTATTATAGAAAATATATAATATTGCAATAAATCCTTTTAACATTGTAGATTTACTTCGTAAGCGGATTGATAGGTCTCCTTGGTATTTCGTATATTGGCATGCTGATAACTGGACGACAGCATCTCCAAAGAAGAAGTGCACGAGAGGCAGCTTATTCAGAAGCTATGTTGGAAAAACACGATTAAAAATGTCGAAAACAAAAAAATTGTTCATTATATTAATATTGCTATAAAAAAATGCTGGAAAGTGTTGAAATGAGAGATTCAAAAAAGAGTTTAACATCTTTGTTCACTATAGTTTATGTTTGAGTTTAAACCTATTTTCTACCTCATATATTACTAGTGAAATTTGATCAATTTTGAAATCGATAATACGGGCCTCCCAGTGGATGGTTACAATGGCTACCGATTAAAATTCAAACTATTCACTATAATGATGAGAATATTGTGACAATTTACGATCTTTTTTGCTCACCAGGTGTTTTTATTTAAATTCATGATGAACATACGTATTTTATATATTTTTTAAATTTGTGAAATTCTTGAATATCGGTTTTTAAAATCACTTATTACATACCAATATTATCGATATCAGTAAATAGGTACATCTGTTTTGCAAATTAAATGCCTAAAGTATTTTTCCAAGATGTATTTTAATTTTAACAGTTTTTGAATGTATATTTTTATTATTTTCAAAATGAGATACTGGTAATATTTATTGCAATAAAAGGTTGTATCGTATATCTATCTCATCGTATATCTATTGTCCAAATTGGGAAAACATATTGAAAGAAAAAAAAACCTTGCGTACGACTTTAAATTGCCATCGCTATAATTGTTGGATATCAGCAACGTAGCTAGGCAATTTATACCAAAAATATATTCTCTGTTTTTCTTTGTAAATTTTTTAAAGATATTCTCTAATTTTGATTCAAACTCACTCGTGGACGACTAGACATGGGCACGTAGATATCAGCATGTTAGGTCCAATGTCCATACATCATATATATCTGGTTCGGAGCTTGAGCACTGAGTTTGAGATCTTACTCTGGAATTAATCGCTTTTGGAATCGAGAAAAGTACTATAATAGCTACCTTCAAATGTTTTGGTGCAGCCAATTACATCACGTAGCCGGAGGGCATTTTACGCTCACCTGAGCATAAGGTTTCATTCATTTATTATGAGCGCGACAACAGTTTGAGTCTCGTATATTAGTATGGAGTTTTATTTTGCTGTACTAGTTTTATTGTTAAGCCTATTTTCTGCGGTGAATAGTGAGATCCCAACCGAACCTGTCGTCGAATTAAGATGGGATTTCAGTGACTGCGGACAATCAGGTCGTTTTGGTCCAACTCAGGTATGCAAATAAACCTTTGTTTTATGTTGTGAGGCAAATATATTTTCCTATATTTAGGTTTTGAATTGATTTGTTATTCATTATGTGTATATAGGGAAAACAAATGGGATATCATTTCGCAACTTTATAATACTGTAATATCAATTATTTTCTAGTCAAGTAAGCCTTTAATTTAGATTCAGTTTCCAATATTTAAAATTTGGTCGCATACAAAAGTACGAGTTTAAGTGTGTTCAACCTTATGTAAATAAATAAATATGAGATTCATAAATGATAACGTTTGTAGGTTCTGCAAGTCCCTAAACTAATCTATGATATGGTATCATAAAAGACAGAAATGATTTTGTAAATAACCACGTAATATTTCTCACAGGAAATGTGCGATGTCGTATACACGGACACAAATCTTGAAGGAGATATTCAGGTGGACAATGGCGTTCAAATCTGGACGGTTCCAGTGTCTGGATTGTACCTGGTTACAGGTAGACTCGAAATGTTTTTTTCCTAATGTGGGCTTTGACAACGTTTCATATACCATAACCATAACCATAATACAACCCTAGCATAGAGCCAGAAAAACTGAATAATTCTATTGTCTACTACCGATTTCTCCGCTATGAAACTGACTTTCAAAAATTAAATAATTAAATTTTTAGCAAGAGGACCATCAGGTGCATCAACTACAAGTAGAAATCCAGGAAAAGGAGCTGATATAACAGCTGAATTCCACATGACTGAAGGGCAGCGCATGAAGATAATTGTAGGTAATGTATTTTTCGTTCAATTTGTACTCTCTATTAAGAGCATGGATGCTACTATTTTTAAAGTAACCGGGATCTTTTCGGTTCGGCAATCTTTTTCTAATTTATTTTACTTTAAGTTATATGACTCATATCTTCTTTTCTGCAATGCAAACATGCTTTTTTAACGGCTTAACCACTAGTGGTATTGTGCTCTTAATGATATATATAATTGGCACCATATTATTTCAGGGAAACTACTCAACTATTAAATCATAATAGTTTTGTCTTTATTCCGCTAATTTATTATCACAGTAGAGTAACTAGAGGGCAAGTTGTCTTTCGAATTCAGTTTTATCTGGATATCAATCTGATTCGAGTATCCTTAAAATTTTAAAATTGATGAACTAAGAGTTCGTTTTCAACACGTACCCTGTACTTATTTAGAAACAGTTACTTATATCTATAACATACAATTATATACTAAAACTTGAGTCAAGCTATATTTTTTATTAAAAGGAAATGAACTTGTTACCTGGAGAACTTTTATTTCAATTTTAGGCCAGCAAAGTGACTCTGCTGATATTGCGAATCCTCGGGGTCCTATTGGGGGATCGGGTGGTACGTTCATACAGCGAGAAAGCGATGAATATATTTTAATGGTCGCTGGAGGAGGAAGTAGCGGATCCGGTACAAAATGGAACGATTGGAGCGTAAATGCAGATGCATCACTTACACTTGAAGGCAAAAATAGTTCGAGGCCACAGGCTTTATATGGCCTTGGTGGTGTTGAAAAAGTAGGCGGTACAAGAGGTGCCCTTTTAGGACAAGAAGTTTCTTCGTCAGGTACCAACGCAAGTTTATTGGACACGAATTTTTACATATGGATCGGTTTGTTACTATGTTGTTGTTCTTGTTTTTTGTATCGTTATAAAAAAAATGCTTTCCCCATTAACTACTGGACTAATTGCTTAAAAATTGAAAATGTCCGTGGTTAAAGATAATATTTTTTGCTAGAAGACTATTACTTTTATTCATTTCAAGAATGTTCTCTGTAGGATTCGTTTTTGTATGTAATGACGTAATCAAAATTGCGCACTGTGAGTGGTTCCGTGACTGCATTTCAGCTATACAGTTGTCGGTCTACCGGTACTGTAAAAGATTTCATGCTACAAGCGTGGGTTTTCGTGTCCTTATATTTGAGCATAGATTTCCTATTTCATATATAAAGGAAATATTTATGAGAAAAAAAATTGAATACCGTGTATATATTTTGTTTTAACTTAGGTGGCGGTGCTGGATATACGGGTGATGGTGATCTCAGTTACGCCTCACCAGGTCAAGATGTAAGAATTCGAGCAGCAAAAGCATTTAAGACGACTGGCGTCACTCATAATGCCCCTGGTGTTGGTGGTCAGTTCATGTATACGGATAAATTCGGCAATCTCATCGAAAACAATGGTGGCTTTGGAGGTGGAGGTTCTGGTAGTAGAGATGGAGGATCAGGCGGAGGAGGGGGTTATTCTGGTGGCGGAGGTGGTTCTTTAAATGGATGGGGTGGAGGAGGCGGATCAATAAACAATGGTGGCCGTCAGAGGAATGCCGTGACAAATCGCGGAAAAGGGGCAGTGATTATCAGCTTCATAGGTACGTCGTTATATTTGCTTGGGCTAATTTATTCATGTTAAGGTTGATATAACGAAATACTCAAAATTTTATTTTTTTTAACAGGTCATCAATGTTGCGGACCAGTCGTGGTTTATATTGCAATGACGTTTATTGCAGGGGTTCTTTTCACTTTGTTAATCGGATTTATAATTATGAGATTGGCGAAAGCAATTCGAGATTATGATGGTAATGGAGGAAAAATGTGGAATAAATTTTTAAAGCGACTAAAATCAGATAAACAAGAAGAAAGGCCAGCCGAAAGTAGTTAAATTAGCATTTTAATTAATGAAAAATTTTAATATTATATTCACACTTTTGTTACTAATTTTCAATAAAATTAAGTATAAAAATACAACGAATGTTTCATCGATATCTGGGGCAAAAGGTTTTTACACTATAGAATAATTTCGGAATAATGCGTGATTTATTTATAATATATTTGATACTTCCGTAGTGTGTGTACCAGTGGAGGGTTAGGCCATAATTTTATTCAGATTCTTTTCATTTTGGTACTATTACCACCAGTAAGTGGACTGTCTGTGTTAGCCACGTGAATATTTCCCATGTCCATAGGTTTTAGTCCCTTTACACAACTTGATGTAAAGTAGGCGAACAAAACATTACATACCATTAAAAATTCACAGCCAAACCAAAACCAGTTTTATCGCGGTCGAGGTTTGTTGATATTATTAGGTTTGTTTTTGTTCATATGTAGAAAAACGTTGACGATTTTAGAGTTTTTGAAATGACTTAAGTTCAATCCGATGCTCGCCCATGCATCGGATACAACAAGCTCATGATATGTAAAGTATCTAATATCTTCGATACGCTGTGTAGCAGCTGACAGCTGTAGCAGTCGGAGGGCGAGATTTGGATGTAGCATGTCAATATTCTAAGTCAAGAAAGTTCATTTTAAGTTGTCTGTTATTCTCGAGTCCAGACCAGCCAGTCAGAGACCAAGAGCCGCATTTCGTACTTTCCAACCGCAAAGAGCCACATTATAAACAAGAACACACCTGAACATCATTTTTTAAGTGTTTGCAACAGTGTAGCCCAAGAATACAAATAAATGATAATACTGAATTTAAACAACTTGGCTGATACCAGTTCGGCAAATGCAATAAACCCTATTTTAGCACAGCCTTGTTAGAGTGATTCTATCTCGGAGTAACCTGTACGTTGGGAGGGACTGGTACGTCAACCAAAAACACTGCGGTACATTGTTCCTGAAATTTCCTCAATTGATTTTTAAAAATTGTAAATATTGTGTACAATCAATGTTATATTTTCATATAAGAGTTGTCATTTCTCCTACTATTTTGACCAATCATAGCAAATTCGATGTAAACTTGGTCTGCGACCTCACTTGCTTAACGTGATCAAAATGGACGTTCCCCCAAGCTTCTGCCCCCGGAAAATTCTTCCCATAACTTACCTCTCGGAAATTTTTGGTGCTCATTTTAATAGTGGTTTTACGAGTTGGCCCCTTTAAACTGGAGTGTATGTTTTAAACCATTTTGATTCGAAACATTCAACAACCTATTTTTTAAAAATAACGGTAGATACCAACTAAATACCAATGTGGCACCAATTGTGGCAAACCTGGCGTAGCACACAAAATCAATAACTGGAACATACATTCAAACTATTCAACTATTATAATTTAAACAATAAACTTAAAAAATAATAAAAAGTAAAAAAGAATTCTAAAGAATAAAGTCAATAAAAAACATTGCATTAACTAATCTCAACAAAGTTTAAAAATAAAATTAAATGGTAAATTAAAATGAATACTTCAACTATTCGTAACCAACAGCTGTATATTTCAAGGCATTCGCCGGATATTGATATATATATGATGACAGTTACCAGAATTAACCGCAATCCTGAAACAACACAATTGAGGCTTTGAGAAAATTTCTATATATAATATATATATATTATAAAATTCTCCCGTATGTTTGATGGCTTCTGAAACACAATTTTATAGCGAAGTATATGGAATTTTGATCTCTTTCGACAGGCATCCACCTGGACCATACCCAATAATGTTAATAAATAATTACGGTATATATCTAGGTTTTGATGTAAAAAGCTTCAAACCTTGCCACATCCTGTCAAAGAGCAGTCACATATTGTTACATTACACTGAATGTAATATCCAATACCATCTGGAACGGAGTTGTACTTGAGTGACTGAAATGAAAATACGGAATTCGGAGATCTTCCATTGCTCGATATTTCCAAACCAGCAGGATTTTTATTCACGGGGCATCTGGAAATAAATGAGTCAAATGAGTATGGCACAATGCAATTTCTTATTCAGTCGAATTCTAAGTTCGATTTTCAGTTACAAGAACGCATATGCATTACACAAAATGAAATATAATATATACAACCTTTTTGAACTGGATATGGCTACGTGTTAATGAGTCGAGGTTAAATAGTATCAAAGTATAATAGACAAGCAATCGTTTCAAGCAAATATCCACCCCAGCACGTATTTTTAATATAAATATCAAATACTGAAAAATTGTTTGCCTCACCCGTCTTCTACGAGCATTAAATTCGTGTCTGTTCTATTATGCCCATTAGAAACTGTATCACCCACGTTCATCCAGCATGTACGAACATAAGGACAAACTCCAGGTGTTGCTTGTGCGTTTTTACCTGGTCCCACATGAACGAACACTTTTGACCCCACTTTGGCTCCACCTGGTCCAATTTCACGGGTCAATGCTTTATCCTAAAATATTGAAAAGTGATTACAGATCTCGTTACATTCGCAATTTGTCTTTCATTTAATTGTTTGCATTTCAGCCCCCATATAATGATGCATCAAACAATTGGATATTATCATATTTTGCATAGAAACAAACCTCGAAGAGTTGCATCCTAATGACACTATTATAAACTGTTGTTGCTTCTGTCGTAGTCACTCCTGACTCGGTGGTGCGTAACAGCGTTGTTGATACTGGTTGAGGTGATGTTTGTCTAACAGTGAATCCATGAGACATTGTCTGACCAAATGCCGTAGTCCACTGTTTCTGTGATGTCGTTAATGTTGTAATTGGTTGTGTGGTTGTCGGGTCGACTGGAGCCGACTCCGTTATGCTTGGTTGATTAGTGGTGCTCTCAAATGAAGTTGTCAGTTCTGTGGTCGTTGGTTGATCAGTCGTGCGCCCGACTGTAATTGTAAAGTATATAGTTGGAGGTTCAGAGGTTGTGCTTTTCAGTGTGGTTTCTTTGTCTAATGTTGCAATCTGAGATGTTGTGATTTGCTCTTTAGTGGTATGTATAGATGTGGTTGCTCCCGTGGTCGCTTCTTCCTCGGTTGTTGCTAAAATAGTTTCTGCCTGGATGGTTGGAGCAGCTTTCGTATGATAAATAGGGTTGCACATATCACCAGATTCGTACGGGCCGCCATGGCATCCTGGCGGTGGTTGGTAAGCAATTAAATTTCTTGCTCGAAATCTTGGTACATCAAATGCTCTACCAATAATGCCTCCTTCATGACCATCAGGCCCCACAAGCTTTAGACTATCGTATACACCAGTTTTAATGACTTCGTTGTCTGTTTTGTCCTTGTGTTTTTCTTTGTCTTGATCTACAAATGTATACTTCCCTAGCTTAACATTTTCAATAATGTTTTCAATTCCACCATGTTCCTGAATGGCATTAAAAAATTCATCGGGATCCTGAAGTGGATTTTTTTGTCTCCATTTTTCATAGTTGAACTCATGGCCGTTGAGAAGTATAGTTTTAGACAGAATTTCACGAGGCGTGAAAGCATCATCATTTTGAGTTAGGAAAGTACCATTAGCATCATTTCTGTAAAAAAGATTATTCTATTCATTTATTTAGTCAAACTTGTACTTCCCTCAAATGAAAATCTTGTTACCAAAACCAAACTATACGAGTAAAAACTCTTTGTACTAGAAAGGAGCATTTTATTATTATACTGAATATATATATGCTAAATTTTCATAAACCCTTGTGTCAAGTGAAGGTAAAAAACTTTCAACTAATGGCGGGTATATAAAATTGTAAAATATATATGAAGTAATAAAATTTGAACAAACAACAATTATCAAAGTGAAAAAGATCTGGTTAAGATATATTGGGAGCTGACTTCACAACAAGTAATCAAAATTGTGACAGGTTTATGAACACCATTATAACGTGATACTATATATAAAAATATATTACTATAGGTGACAATTTAATCATTTTTCCGCTGTAGAATTTACTGACAGTTTGTCTCTAGTGTAATGGAAAAAATCCTGTAGATATGTTTTGTGATACATATAAATCAGAGGCTAGTTTCAGAACAGATATTATGCACATTTGTCTATTAGATATATGCCTAAAATTTACCTTGCAGATCGTCCTTGAGGTGACTGAAAAATCAAACTATGTGTTTGGCTTGCACTAGCAGAGTAGATACACTTTACGTTTACGACGGGGACATCCATTCTTACTCCTCTTGGTAAAAAAGACCTGCGAAAAATTGCTTTACATGAACTAAATAAATAAATTTTTTTGAATAAATAATTTTTTTTTGCAAGTTTGCTTGTAAATTGCTTCCCACTTGATCAGAATTGAACTCCTAAATTTCGCGCTAAAATAAAATTATTCACAATTATTTGTAATTGCAACTCGCAATAACTGTACTGCAAAAGCCAGACATATGGAGAACGTTTAACTCGTAGGATCTTTATGATTGTGTTTAAAATTGTTGTCTAGCATAAAAGTAGGATCGATTCACAAAAGGATATCGTGGAGATGAGAAATAAACTTTATTGCATATATATATTAAATTAGTTGCACTCTTGTTTCACAGCCTTTTAAATTTTCTAATTGATTGTTGTGATATAGCTTTATTTTGAGCACCTGGTTTTGAAAACAGTGTTTGTAAATGAGATCTCTTTCTTTTCTTCATCAGTAAAGAGAACAGACGAGCATTTGTTATCCATGATGCCGCTGGAGATTAAATAGTAAAAGCCCTGTAAAAATTTAATATTATCCAAGTGAGAAATAACCAGTTTGATATTCATAAGAGTTCTAATACCAATTCAGTTATGATTTGAACGATTATACGTTTTGAGTATTATCACTAAAAGAAGAATTTTATAATGCGGAAGTTACCTCTTTTGTAAGAATAGCATCCGATTGACTGCTAATTCCTTTGTCCTTCGACGGATCGTCAACAACACGGGCTACACATTCATCTCTCAGTATCCTGGAGAACATAATTGTGATCAATTAGTGTAACTGAAGGCGTATGACTATATTTACATACAAGTTGCGCCTGCTCCCAGTTTAAAATTAATCAAAATTAAATCCTGCAATTGTTTTCAATTTTGTGAAAAAAGAAACAAATCACCCACATGTCGCTGAGACCCATGTACACAAGTGTTTCTTTTGAATGGGTTTTGGATTCTGTGACGTAATGTTTTGGTAATCTAAGTTCCATACGATCTGGCAAGCATGTCAACATCGCTGATGCTGGAAAATAATTTAAAAACAATTTCATCGGAAATTTTATATATATTTAAACGCGGAATTCAATTTAAATAATAGATGGTTTCACTCGCATACATTTATAGATAAAAAAAGGAGGAACACAGTTTTATTTAGTTGGATATTCTCACTCAAGTGATTATTATTATAAATGCAACTAATGTTAAAGATCAGAGTTTCAATTATTGTAGCAAACCAGAAAATCTAGTTTCAACAATATTTAGTAATGGCGGCATTAGCTTATTGAAGGGGGCAAGAGTAAAAATGACAAATGTCAAGTTAAAGTAAGATGTTCATTACTACACCTATACATTATTTCGATTTTTGCAGCAAAGTCAATAAACTAAACTCCACAGCAACTGATAAATACATTCCGATAATGGCACTGTTACTCACGTTTAGTACATTCTTTATCCAACCAATAAGGGCTTTGACTTATGCATTTGTACCCATTAGACATCTTTGAATTTTCAACGCAGTCACATCCAAAAAGACATGGGTTATAAGGCCAACAAGGCCCATCTTTCCAGCACACTTGAAAAGCCTCATTTAAAAAGGAAATTATTTCTATGAAGTGTTACAAAATCGACCCAAAGGAAAAAAGTGAGCAAGAACAAATGAATATATATTTAGATAATTGGGAGTTCCAGTAACAATCGGTGTATATACGTATGGTTTGAGAAAATACCATGTGAAATATGGGAATCATAGGAATTGCATAATGTATTTTAGTATGCCTCAGAGAAAATTCAAAAAATCATGTTTCTGCAAGCATGCATCAGTCCTATTTGCGACCTCTTCTACATAAGGTAAACCTGTAGTACTCACATCTGCTAAATGCCCAGCAACAGCGTCGATTTGGTAGAATTTCGGTAACATTAGGAACTGCTGTTTCGAGACTATTAGCGGAAGAACTGATTGACTTGGACGATCTTTCATCTCATATGCAGCAATATATGATAATACACCTTGCTTGCTCAATCGTACAAATACTGTGGCGAGTTTATTTATGTTCTAAAAATATTGAATCAATGTTCAAAGATGTAAGAATTCCAAAGAAACAGTGGATAGGAACATCGTCACTTTGTATCTAATTACTAAGACTTCCAGAAATGTAAAATAGAGTTGGGCGTGTCAGTGTCGCCAGCATTATTTGATTCTTTCCCAACAAAAGTAGCAGCAATATATACTTGTTCGGTTGATTCTTGCATGGGTTGGGAGTAAGAAACAGAATTGTACGTCGCATGTTTGCACCATTAACAGCGTCAAACTCCTTAATAATTTTTGTATGGAACAATATCTAAGAAACCACGGGTGCTAAAGAATTGTACACTCTCAAATTTGACCTCGGAAGATCGAACCCAATCCCTTATTTTCTGGCATAATAAAACAGAATATTTGTAAAATTTTAGATTCAATATTTGGTAACAGTTTACACATATAATAAACTCGGACTCACTGGTTTTTCCCAATATGATGACACAATGGTTACAAGAATTATCTTGGTCTTCAAATTTCTCGGATTATCTCCAATTTTGTCGTTTCCAAGTATCTTCGGAATAATCACATGCGATACCAGTTCAAATGCACCAAGAATATTTCCTCCCTGGTGAGTTTCTCCAGTTTCTAGAGGAATCATTTTGTCGATTTTGAGCAAAACTTCAGACTTTTTTTGTTTCCGGATTGTCGATCCTTGAGTTTGACTATTTTTTGGTTTGTCAAATATCACCTCTATTTTAGATTGTTTGCTATTGAATTGCGCAACAGTCACTCTTACGTTACCTGTTCACAATGAAAAATATAATTTATAGAAAGACATGCCAATAAAAAGCGTAGATTGTGAAGTTGAAGTGAGCTTGAAAATTACATTCAAAATATATTCATAGTCAATCTGATAAAAAAAGTACTTTCCTATTATGCGACTTTGATGGTTTTAACAAAATCTTTGGGGTAAGAAAAGTTCAAAAATTACCTCTGTCCATTGGAAGTCGGTGTATAACAGACAAAGCCGTGTCCTTGTGTCGTTTGAACGGCGTACGTCTGTCATTTTGATGAGGAGCGTGGTCAGCTGATTTCCGGCTTTCAATTAGAATTATGATATCCGTTACTTCACTGCACAATATGGAACCACGAACTGCACTCAAAATATCTGAAATCGTTATTGGGGAACAATTTAATTAATTGTTGATGCCTAATAACCTTCACTGCGGTTCCAATAGCCCACACAAATCTATTGTGAGCGTCACAAAAATTAATGAAAAACCGAAATATAAGGAAAAAACAAAGCGAATGACAAAGGAAAACAACTTGGTATACTGCTGTAACTGAAAGGATCGAAGAAAAATCAACGTCAAATGAACATAACTGTCAGTTGGTTTTTGTTCCTTTTCTGCCTCGTGAAAAGAGTTTGGTTTGAAGGTGCATTCCAAAACATATTCATGAAAATAAGCAGAAAATTATGCTGGAAATTGGAATATATACGAGAAACTGGAATCATTGATGACAAAAACTTTAACAACCAGGAACCTACGCTTCCAGTCAAACGTACATAAGGAATCTCGCCACAGTCGCCCGATCATATCAGCAGAGGAATTGTCGTATGTCAGAGACGGTTATGAACTTTGAAATTAATTGAAAAAGTCGACACTATTCCGCCTTAGCCTTCTAGCAAGCACGCACATGCCTTCCCAATATACAAATATAATATTCCTCAAAAAATGCAACTGCAGGGGTTATCGAAAATACAAAAAAAAATTGTATTTAATGACCAACATTGCCGCCGAATCAATGGAACAGCAACGGAAAAAAGATGGGGCCCAAACACAGTAACGCATCCAAGGCAAAAATTTATATTACTGACTGCTTCCTGACTCGGACACCCTAAATATTATACCAATCTATTCAAGCCCACTCAAAGTCAGACGGAGGTCTTTCCTTTAAAGCCATTCTTTTGAGGGTTCTGAAGAACTATCGACTGAAAATGTTGCCAAGGGAAAACAAACTTTGCAATCAAGCAGAACCTAAACAGTACAATTATTTTAGCCCCTTGTTTATAAGTATGTCATCGGAAACGATGGACGCTATATTTTGATATTTGTACTTTGACATTTCGAGATGAGTTGGGATTAAGTACTACTATAGTGGTTTTCACCCCTTCTTGCATAACCCAACCCTAAAGGAACATTCCAGAGGGTCGTGAACTCCTGTACAATAGCTCAACGAGAATATCGGTCGGAAACCGAAGACTTATCGATCGAAATTAGGGGATTCCCCAAAACAGCGCTCTTACTCCATAGCTACACCGTGTGTCTCGTCACTAATTAATCAATAGCTCGCTAATTATACGACATAATTCATCCAAAATCTATAGGCTTCTGATCCGAGATATGATGAATGCACATGCAAAATTTGGAGCAGATTCAACCTCGCTTTCGTGAGATATCGCGTGTATCTAACAGACAGACAAAAAAAAAGACAAATACCCATCAACATACTTACCGATCTTAAGATCGATAAGTAACAATTTTAATTTTATAAGCGACATGGCAAATTGTGGCAAAATAAAATGAACTGTAATGTGTAGCAAGTTTAACTCTTTGAACTCTGAATCCCCAGAACGACGATACTCTCTCACCCTGACCTCCCACGGCGTCGCATCGATTCGACGCGTTAAAAAATTGTAATATTCCTAATTTTAAATCAAAATAACTTCTAAACCATTAGATATCAGATGGTCTGTAATATATCATATAAAAGCTTATCTAGTCTTTTATTTTTAACTGGCATTATTTTTCACGAGATGTTTTGATGAGATGTGTAAGCCTATTTGTAGCCCCATCTACTATTTTTTTGTATTTTGGTAATATTTAATACATTCCTTGGAAATGTATCATCAATATAAGTACAATTTTGAAAAGTATACAAAATTACCTTTCGGAGAATATACGTATGACTTTCTTAACATACGCATAACTCATTTTATTGCAGAATTTGTACTATCGATTCAAATGGTATGCGAACAAAATTTATCAACTATTTGACGCCAAGTTTGCGTAAGGACGCAAAGGGCGACGACGACATTGTCGTGATAACGTTCATGCGACGTATCGTGCGTAACTCTTTGCGTGAGGTATATTGCGCAATTGCACATCTGGTCGTTCACAGCTTGAGTGCAGATTGTGGCGTCATTGCATTAGTATCATATCCTCGGCCGCAGATAAAACCCTTTCAGACGAATTTTGATCGAACATAGTAAAATTGCTAGAATATAAAGGCCATTTTATATACGTTTACTATTTGGATATGGGACGAAAATGAATGGCCAAAACGAAATATTTGATCCTCATGAATTTAGGAGGTTCCGCCGGAAACATCAAGGCTAATTATTCACCGTTGGATATCATGAAGATTGAATAAAAAAATACTGATAACGGGTACACGGAAGACATGGTGGCACCAGTAGCTCACCTGGTCAGTGTTTTACATTTTGCAGCCTCATTAGATTTTCGAAATTACTGCATATACGCTACATTCCTGATATCGCTATATTTACAATGGATTTTAAACGAAAGCTTTGTCCAGATGAAATATTGGATAGTATTCATCTATCGGAAGAAGAAAATATGGCACAATAAAACTCATTAATGGCGCTAAACAATGCATCCATCGATATGTTCCATCATTCTGTTTTTAAAAATTCTTAATTTGGCTATTCGTATTTTTCATATCTTTATGCAATTAAAACGGCAATAACACTGCGTATTGTGTGTTTTAGTCGAACCGATGTAATGCGTAAATTTCCCCGTGTATCGTTTACAAGTCGTAAGTCGCTTCACGAGTACGAACTTATGTAAATAACGTTACGAGCATGCGAGGAAAAGTGTTTCTCGTATGAAACGTAAACGTGCTACGTGCCAACGTAATTGCTTAACGTCGATGCGTAACGGCGTAAATGTGTTAGGTCGTTATTTACGTCACCTTGACGTCGCCTCGATCTTGTGACAAACAAAATCACGAATAAAAATGCTTCTAAAATTTGAATGGTGCAACATAAGTTCAATCTAATGGTATCACTGGAAAGCTATCTTCAAATTCTACAAATTTTGTCGATAATGTACTAGGTTTAATCGAAAACAAATTTAAGTTTTGTCAATTAGATTTGAGCAATTTTCAGAAGTTTTTTATGCTTTTTAATTTTGCCAATTTTTATAAGATGATCACCATATTTTATCTCAATTTTAAAATTATACTTAGTCCCGTAGATTATCTTTCACACGATGTAAAACTTGTCTAAATATAATAAATGGTTCGCGAGATATGAGGTTTCAAAGTTGCATACCTCTTACGGGATGCGAAAGCCGCTAAACCGGCTTTCAGCGTCAGAAGACTTTCTCGGGAAAGCCGGTTTATCGGCTTTCAGGGTTCAAAGAGTTAATAATAAGATGAAACTTGATAGGTATTTTATTATATTCAAACATTTATTTGTAATAACACTCTCTGATTTGAAGTGAAACGTATGGAACCCCATGACTGTATTGGTGGGACCCTAAGGTTCTGCGTAACCACGTTTGAAAACCACTGTGCTCTTTAGGTAAAATCAATACGAGTACAATTTAACACAAGATGATCCATTAAACACATATATGTATATTATACTTATGTACATACCCATTGCTAGTCCAAAAACAACAAGAAATAATAGCTTCATATTTTCTTTTCAGGAATATTCCGAGAATATAGCCGGTTGTCTAGATAGAATTGAAACCAAAAGCATACGATTTCGTGACTATAGCACATGCAACTCAAACAAGAGATTCCAATTGTCAACAACGAAAAGCTAAGCCGAGAAAATACCAAAACAAAAACAGCAATAATTACACCGAAGGTCTAATTTCCACTCAACTGTCTTGCATAAAACAACAAGTAATTAGATTTTCTGCCTTTCGAGTTGAACTCAGCGTAATATACACTTCTTATATATAGGGCACACAGGTCTTATGTGCTTAAGACCCCGAAAAGGCATGATCCTGCCCTGTGATTAATCAAACTGCTGGACTTAAAAAATCAGGGTATTTACGTTTTCAAAATTATCTAATTAGCTTATTATTATGCAACCGGACAGAACTTCCAAAATTCAATTTCGAAAATATATTAGCATGAGAATTTTTTCAACTGAGTCGATACCCCCAACACTCTAAACTTTTGGGAAAGAACAGAGTTGTTGAAAACTATATAAAGAATCGCTAAACGCATGACAGTGTCCAGATAAGTATCTCGATACATTCATTTCACAAGTACACAAATGCACAGTTACACTGTGAGTCGAAACGCAGAATTCAGATAAAAGTGCAATGTTATGCTTAGTTTTGGCGTTCAAGAAGATTTTTATATACCTGCAATAGTAATATGTACATGTCTCGTAATTGCTTTGAACGGACTTAAATATAAATAGCCATATATACATCAAAATATGTGAGATATTTCATCGATTCTGGCAAATACACATCACATTGTCAATGCAAGAGAAAATGGCCATAAATTTGATAATTTTGCAAATAGCGAGTTCAATGCAAAATGGAAAAAAGATAATTATGATGTATATAAGCATACTCTATCATCTAACTATCATCAAAAACAGAAGTCATAAACATACTATTTTTGATATAAGATTTATTAAGTCATATAATACATTGCAAAATAAACAGAGTACTCACATTGCATATTTAAACAACCAAAACGAATTTGTTGGTAATTTTTTTTTTTTTTATACAAATTCTCGTCTGAATATTTTACCGAGCTTTCATGTGGACCCAGGGGGTGTCGGTTTTACCACTCGTTAGGACTTGTCGATGGGGTCCTATCGCGCTCCAGAAAACTCTGAAACGCCCTATGCCCATATATAGTAGAGTATATCTGAAGGAAAGAATGAAAAACACAGTTTGTATTATTGTTTGATATATCCCCCCGTTACAATTATTGTTTTGGCAAATGGGATAGCAATAAGAGACAACATATCACAGAAAAATGCTTCAATCTTTAGCGTTAAAAGAATCGTAGGTATTGTAGGGAATTCGGGCAAATGGAGCAGTACTCAAGTTCAAATGTAATAAAAGAGCATTTCATAGCCCGGCCGTATGATATTATACTCAATGTAGCCTATACAATGAATGCATGTAATACTATACGGCTGCTATATGTTGAGCCGATGGCCCCCATATGTTCACAAACACCACTATTATGCAGTATATCGGCATATAGAAAACACAGCGTATAGGCGCCTATCTTATTTTAAAGACGATATGACGACATGCAAATTTTGTCGATTCACTTTAAAGTGTCAAAATAATTGATTGCTTTTCACGACTATCGAATCCTTGACAAATATTGAAAGATGCAATATCAAACATATAGATAATTGTCATAAAATTGTTTTCTGTTTACACTTTGTTTTTCTTGATATTTTCCAACATATGTTATAGCTTGTTTGGTGGTATTTCTTTTTTATTCTGTTTCTGATTTGTTATTCAAGTATTTGGTACTCAATGCTTTTTTATTATGTATTATATAAATTTCAATATATTCATGAAAAACATGAACATCCACATTTCTAATAGTACATATATATGAAATATACACGATAACACCTCATAGTTCACTTTACATATAACTTAGCCATAGAAAGTTTATTAGTCTGAGTATATCAAGCAGGTAATTAGAGTCTTGTTAAAACTGAATATGAGTAATCAGGGCTGGATTTATCATTATTAAGCAAAATGAGACATGATCAAGGCACCAAAGAAAAGGGGGCACCACATATATTTCCATGAAGGAATTTTCAATAACACCTCAATGTCTAATGAAATGATCCGCGTTGGTCAGACATTTCAGATAAGAGCCTGGTTGAAATAAATGTTTGCTTATATTTCTTTCTCAGGTTTATCTTACACGTCTCTATAAATGTTTGTAGGCATCAGTACTATGTCCACAAAATATCATGTAAATTAATCGTCTGTGGTCTTTAATCAATAATGGAAACTGAAACTGAATTTCGATTTCAGATAACATGGAACATTAAATTCATTATATATATATATTTCTAAAAATGAAGGCACTGTAAAGAAAGAACTTGAAATACCACCATGTGTCTCAAAGCGTTCGGACTTGATTGTATCACAATGACCAGTCTTTCGAATACCGTAAACACAAATCGAGAACTTGTACAACATAACTTCCTTCCAAACTCTTCATCTTACGCTCACTTCCGAATTTGAATTCCCGTTAGCGCTAGCCGCTTCTGATTGACTGACATTGTCTTTCGAAGTTCAGATGAGAGAAGTTTTACCACGGTGCAATATTTTGCATTAATTAAATTCAGAAGCATAAAACTTACATTATTATAACGAGATATCTCGATTGAAAATATTTACAAGTTAAAAATTGCATAGAATAAGATTAAAAATTGCTTTTGAACAAAATAGAAGTTGAGATATTTCCTTACAAACGTTGCATCATAGAAAGAGCCTCAATTATAATCTTTAATTATAATTTTTAATAACAATTTTTGGGGATAATTACAAGTTCAGCATAGTGTGATGTTCAGTACGCTAGCTATTCATCACCCTGCCTAAAACTCTAGCCGTGCTGGAAGTCTTGACCTAAGAAAAGGTATCTAATATATTACATTCTCCATGTGTTTATAAGAACATGGAATTTTAAATTACCATCGAAGGTAGGAATTGTTTATCTCATTGTAACTTTTTGGTATTCATTACATTTGGTGGTCAAGTTTTGCTCCATAAATGTTAAAAAAAATTGGTATGTTTAAACTATCTGCATCATAGGCTTGTGACTGGAATATCCTTCCCGTTTGAAATAGGGTCATTGTCAATTGATTGCTCATCATCGTTGGCCGTGAACCCTTCATTATCGTAATCAAATTTTATGCCATTTTCTTTTTGAGGGTCATCCATTGAAATATCGTCTTTGTCTTCGTCCGATTTCATTGGTTTATAAAAATAAGCCGCGGATCCAAATAAAACCACGGAGAGCAGTTTCCCACAAAGCCCTGGAAACACAATTTGTTTGAAATTTTAATGTAATAGAATAAAATAGATTTTAGTTCTTTGTCAATTTAATCGCTAATTTTGATCCATATATATATATAAAGTTTAGAATGTACCAAGTGATACAGTCGTAATTTTGTCAATTATAGAATAATGTAGTTTTATGAACAGTGACGAGAGAAATAACGAGTTCCAAAATAGGTCACTTAACATATACCGCTATTAATAACTTAAGTTTTTATCCTGCGCAAATCTGTGCAAGTGCAGATGTAATATCAGCCTCGAAGTTATAAATAATAAACGTTGAAACATTTCCGGCAATAGGCAGAATAATATCATTTATTTGCCACGGCACATAGAATTGAACCTCATTACCGGTCACTTTTTTTGTTGTATTTGATACAAATAGCCATACCTATAAGCAGCATATACAATCCCATATTATTGTTGTCATATATCCAGCAAGAACCTCTCCCGCGATTACACAACTTTTCTTGCCAGAGAATACATGTCGTGTCAATAACGGCACCAAAAATTATAGGACCAGGAATACTTCCAAACGCTCGCATAAACAACCATTGTACACCAATAGCAAATGAACGTTGAGAATCCGGAACGCATCTAAATAAACATCATCATTAAATGGATTTCTTTTTTACCTAAACGTTACGAAACGTTAGTAGAAATTGTTGCCCACTATATAACATTTTCTTACCTGAATGTGACGACCAGAGCGGGTGCAGTTGACATAAAACAAATCATGACTACAAGAAAGAAAACAACTAAAAATGGAGCAACCAAGTTACATTGTTCTTCACACAAGCCTTCTGTTGCAGTGTTATTTCCCGTCGTGATGCAAGTACAGTCGAAATACTAAATGGAGAAATGATATGGCAAAGTTATATTGCATTAGCGACAATTAATTGAACAATAGTGCTATTATTTTATACATATCTATAGTAACCACAATGTGCTATGGGTCTTCATGTATTTAGACCGTTGCATCGCCTTTGGGAACAAAATGAAAATATTTTATCTTTTGTTGGTAATGCCTCGAGGTAATAGCTAATAATAGCTAGCTATTATTACTAATAGGAAATGCATTTTTCGTCCATTAAGTAAATCAAGTATTGTTAGCAATACTTCCACGCCATCAAAGGGCAAACGTTTTATTTAAACGTCAACCATGATCTTCCAATTCATTTAAGTTGTTTTCTCAATAGGGTGCATGGTGAACACTTCTGTGCATGGCTACAGAGTAGGAGGTCTGAGTTCAGCTCGTTTTTTTCGAACTTACAACTTTTCGGATTTGGCATTTTGAGTTTATTAGAGTCCGAAATTCAGACTTTTCGTGGTGATGATTGGACTCAAAAATTGAGTTCACAACGCGTTTTAATAAGTCAAATATAGAAGACTTGCATATGACTCTACTGTGCTGCTTCTGCGGAAGACTGCTGTTGATGGCATAAGTTAGTTTCTTTCTATTACCAAGTCATATTGCGTCAGGTCAGCATTATATAAAGTCATGCATGATACACTTTGTTTAGTTAAACGTGTGCTTTAAAACTCATACCATCGTTGTGTTTTCGATAACATCACAGCCAGCTTGGCAAGCAGAAAAATATCCTTTGCCATCTTCACCACATACTGGCATAAAATATGCTTCTTGACAATCACAACCAGCGTTACACGGATTGTTGAGATCTGCAGGATCAGGAACATTGCTGGAATTGCTGAAATGAAGAACAATTTGAGACCTCAGCAAAAAATGCATAAAATTATGCATCAAAAATAATGCCTATGAGGTGTTCGCGGATATGCTGAACGTAATGTTCTACATACGACGACGCAGCGATCATGTCAAAAATAACTGAATTTGAAGGTTTTGTAATTTTCCCATTTCCCATTTTATCGCTCATCGGTTAATTAGTAAGAATGCACCAACTCTAATCAATCAGAGCAAATACGTATAAAGAAAATGTACCCTACCCGTAAGGAACATTTACTCCAGCCACTGCAGACGCATCGCAATGCAGAAGTAGAATTGGTGACAACGCGATTACACTAATGCAGCAGACAACACAATATTTCAAGATATCTGTCGTCGACATATTAAAACGTTTCACCAAATATCCTGCCAGAACGTGTCCAACTACTCCACCTGGAACACTGATAACTCCTGTAAAAATGAAGCAAGAATTGGAAACTGGGTTATTTAAAAAGTATAATAGTTGATAAGATTTGATTACCCTATCATCATGACGATGCATTCAGAAAACCAAAAACAAAGCGGTGATTAAAACAGGTTGCTATTTCCGATTTTCATACATTGTCTAGGTCAGTGGTCGGCAACCACCGATCCGCGGAAAGGTTACTACCGGTCCGCAGAAGTGTGACACACGGCCCAAATAACACCTCTACAATCTAACAACCACGAGCCTACAACCAAAATCATCACCCAATAGCAAGGCAGACAAATACAGCGCATTTAGGCAGCATGTCTGACTTCATAAATAATTTTCACGTTAACATGTCGCAAGAATGCTGCATCAATTTTTTCTCTGCGTAAGAATGTTCCACATCAGTCCAAATAAGATGCCTTGAACAAAATGATCCTCGCTAACAACGTGACTGTTGGATTTATAATCGTACGTGACAGCAACGAAATTTGTCCAGTTTGCGACTTTTGTCATCCTAAGCTCTCAAATGAGGCAATGAATCCTTACAAACTTCTTTGAACGATGACATGGCCGTGTCAACGACGAAATACCAAAATAGGCTGGGCGTAAGCAACATGTTACGTATATAACTATCGACCATGTCTCCAAATTGGGAACAGGTAAGGGGCAGCAAACAAATGCAGATCTCAATTGAATAGCATCACTTTCGTTTTCGAATATGCCAAATAAATTTTACAACTCGTAATATTTATTACATATTCCCATAACTGTATCTAAGTTCGTTTGTATGAAAGTAATCCGCCAAAATTTTGGTCAGGCTTTACCGGTCCGCCACTTAAAAAGGTTGGCGACCACTGGTCTAGATCAATCGCAAGCAGGCACTATACTTTTATATTGATTGATATTATCCGCCGTAGTGGATTGACGCATTTGTCCTTTCAATACCAAATTTTGCTTTGTGTGACTCTTGTCAATATATTGCAATTTCGCGGATTGATATTCCTTGATTTTAGTAAATAGAATTACATTTATATCCCTAACTGAGTTTTTTTTTATTCCATTCTGATAAAAATATATCAAGATTGAATCACAAAGTTCGCTTACCCGCGAGCAATGCCGCTGCTCCAGCCGTTTGTCTGAACTCATTTTCGATTAACTTTGGCAGAAAAGTAGCAAAGCCACTAATAACAAGAGTCTCTGTACAACCTGCAAGCGTCGTCAACATAAAAGTAGGATTGCTCAACATTTTTATTAATGCGATCGGAAAATCTTTGATGCCTCTTCCAAACCCTTGTTGTTCTGTTACTTCTGCTCCGGCACTTGCATGTACTTCAGATTCGCGCATTGCTCGATTTCTAGCTGTGCCTGTGGGAAATACGCACGTTGTTGTTATTCATGTGAATAATATGAGCTTTGAAATGAGCTTGAGTAAATGAAGGTTTCCTTCATTGCACGCACTTTTTTGCGAGTCCATCACGCTCACAGATATAAAAGAATATAAATATGCATTATTGTACAAAACTGCCTGATGTTTATGAGGATATCGTTATCAAATAACAAACTATTACAATTATTTTGATTCGAATGGAGCATATTAAGATGGGAAGGTCTGATAAATTATTAGAGTTTGAAATAGTGGTTGCAAATCATTTTATCCACAAAGGTGAAACAGGAGTGATTGTTAACAATAAGGCCATAATTTTGGGTAAATTCATTAAAACTGAATTTCTAGTACATAATTTGTATCTACGACAACGTTGTAAAGGTCATTTATGCAAATACAAACTATCTTTCATACCAGGCAATTGCTTTGGAAATCCAGACATTGGTCCTGTAACAAGTCCATAGGCCATTCCTGCTGCAAGTAGCATTCCAACCCACCAAGCCCCAACCCATCTAGGATCACTTGGTTCCAAGGTGAGACTGTTGAATAATTTCATTCAGCTAATCTAGTTGTAGTAAATTTCCCAAATGGTCCAGACAATTGTATCAGGCTTTTTTTTTTTATATAAAATGAGTCAATTCAAGCGAGCAATATTTCATTTGAAATCATTTTAACGGTATTATAAGAGTATGGATTACAACGAAGCCAAATGTACGAGTGTTTCCATTATTGAAATTTTTATTTGAATTTAATGATCAGGAACATATAGCTCAGTTTGTCCTATAAATTCTACTACCGTCTCACACCGTATCATTGTAGCCGACCTCTCTTGATTAATACTACAAAATTCATTGCCAATCCTCTGTATACAATACAGTAATATAAATATACACATTTTTCTTACCTAGCCATAGCCTCTGGGGAATCAAAGTCAACATATATTGATAAGAGATAACCTCCAATAATATATCCAAGAACGGGACCGAAAATTGATAGAGCATTTGCAAGACCTGAAAATCAAGTAACACACTTCATTTAAGTTCTCTAACTTCGCAAACAAATATCGTTATAGGCATCTACTTTTAGATAAGGAGTTACTGGTAGTTTGGAAGGCACGGAATCTTTCTTGGTCGGCATACACTCGACAGAATTTACTACACCTTCTGGAAGATGTTTTTAAATCGTGACCTTTAACCTGTGACACTAGCATCGTCAATATTTGAAACTGTATAATTTATTCTATATCTTTACTAACTTCTCTTCACAACGCTAGGAGAATGAAAACAAAATCAATGTCCCATGTTTCATGGAATTTCAAATCGACAAAACATAAGTATGGTTCACCTAAATACATTGAAGCTTCTTCCTTCTTGACACTGTCTTCCATAAACGCATAACCAAGCGTATAAAGCGGAGTGGCCCCAGTTCCATGAAGTAGCTGGCCTAATATTAGAACGTATAAAAATGCATGGAGATTTTCTTCGTCTCCATCACTTGAACAACTGCTTGTTGGCCCATCTCTAATGCAGCTATCTGAAAAATAAATAGTATTTGTAGTAGCATTTCAAATTAAAAAATATTCAACAGATTCATAGTACGGTAATAATGTTGAAAAACTGCACATATATCCAGCAGATTAAAACAAAAGGAACTTTAAAATATAGTATTTTTGGATTAGTTATATTCTATCAGTCGCCTGAAATGGGATTCATAGCTAACGCTTTATGCTTTGGCAAGATAGAGATGTTTTCCAGAACATGAATCCTCGTTTACTTTCGTAGTGGCAAATCAGCAAGATACAGTGTTTGCTTTCTGTATGTTAGTTTTTGGTTATGTTTTAGAATTTAGGTTGGCATTCCTAGTAGTTTTAGTTTTAGACTAGAAATAGCCGTGATAGACTAGGTCAAACGTTTCTACCGGTACCTACTTTTATATGACAGAGTGTTGAATGTTTTGAATTAAAATGATGATTTGAAACACATAAACAAGTTCACTTTAAATTACTGTTCTTAATGAATATTAAAGTCCACATGCCAGTACCAGTTAGCCTAACAAAGTAATAGTCCTTATGTTATAAATCGAGATAAAACTGTAACAAGCAATCTCCTGTTTTTACCTGAAAACTCAGTTTCGTATTTATAATTTCCAGTGATATAGTGTGGTAAAGCAAATACTATAGCTCCTGTTCCCATAATTACTGATCCAATTGCCAATAAACGAGGCCTGTGGGCGTGGTTGCCGTAATATGTAACAAATAAACACAGAAGACAAAATGCAATGTCGTAACTGCATCCAACAATTCCCAATTCAAAGCTGGTGAGTTGAAATCTTCTTTCGAGAGTTGTGATGCTAACGTTGACAAGGCCATTGACCAGCATACCTGAAATTTGATTTGTTAGATATTGTGATGGAGAATAGAAAAAATTGCCAAACCTAACATACACAAATTCACGTCCACCTTATGACATGCTAATGTCAGTAGTTAATTGGACACGTAGTGGACATAGCGATCGTTTCAATATTATGTTGTTGTTGTTCTTATTGTTGTTCTTAGTGTCCTTGTTCTTTGACACGTTTTGAAGAAATCGCTTTTCTCTTCGAATACTGGACCAATTGCTTTAAAATTTTTAGTGGTTGAAGATAAAATTTATCTCCAGAAGGCTATTACTTTTTTTGTTTGTTGCTATGACGTCATCAAAATTATTCCCACTGGGTGGCGCTACGTGTCCATATATTTGAGCATAGCTCTCTTGTTCTGGTAAATTATTGAATTTAACTATTATGAATTAGGATCGTGTTAGGTCAGCTTGTTCATTTTATATACACCATTTGGTACTTGTTGAAAGATAATAAACACAATCAGTTGTGCATAGGGCACGAATATATAGATTACATTTTTTGACTATGCTCATTTGGGAAAAAATAACATAAAGTTGAAATGTGCTTAATAGTTTATATAAATGTGTTGTTGTAGCTGTGTTACCAACATATCTTGTTATAAAAGTGTGGTGTTTAAGAATTAGAAGTGGTAAGAAACGTAATTTGCCAATTAACCAGTTTAAATAACAGTGAATTATTTCCTGATCGTTTTTTAATATTTCTAGCATACTTCGCACGCGAGCACACCTTTATTTTACATTTATATTGTACAGATTGTTAAACAATTTACGACATTCATATAGAAGCATTCGTGTAAAATGGGGGGTTTTCATTGTGACGTTTTTATGTCTATTTGCTAATATTCCTACCTTGTTTTAAAAATCATCAACCCGATTATAGGGCCTTGTAAACTAATGCTAATTTTGCAAGGGCCTGTATTAATTATATTGAAGTGTAATATTTCTTGAACTTGGTTTTCGCTTTACATAGTGACATTTAGCATTACTAGGTCCACTTTAACGTTTTGAGCAGTAATGGCTCGTGTGTTAATGTGGTTGGTCGGAAATAGGAATAACATTATTACCATCACAGAACATCCGCATATCAAGTACGCATTATTAAATGTATGAATCACAATAAAACTTATTACTGCATCATTCTCTAAATTTCCACAAAGTTTCAGATACCTTGAGTTATTGAGAAGAATCCGAAAGCCGCTAAAAATCCTTTAGGGTTGTTAAATCTTTGAAGCCAATCTGGAGTGAAATTAAACCAACCATATTTTCCTTCTTCTTTGCAATGATAATCGCTAGATGCTTTACTAGACTTGCTTGTGCGTCTTTCAGTATTACCAGAACTATCCCCATTAGGATAAGACGGGTTTTTATCGTCACTTTCGAGCTCTTTACCCATTCTAGTATATTTATCCAAACTTTAACAGTTCAACTATCTGAGTTTGCCTGTATCCTGCAATGACAATCACTGAGTATATATGTTCGATGATTTCACATATTCATGGCGTTTATGCACACAACGAGTGTTAGTTACCGCAATGTACTAAGGAGATTTGTTTATTGGAGGAATGTAACGAGTACCCACTCACTCCGAATTGAAGTGTTGCAAGAACTATTGATGTAGTTGTGGTAATGTGATGGTTTATCGCGTTTCAGATAGATCTGTACAATTACCGACTGAACAGTATTGCCAGAGTATTAGTCGCTAGCCCGCACTAAACGAATATAGACCGACATCTGCTGAATGCAGCTGATTTACCAACTGTGGGTTCTGTGATACACCCCGCTAATTACTATCCGATGTAAATGCAAAAACCAGCCTCATTTGTTATTTTGTTTACAAAGAACACTAAATTACAATTTTTATCTATACTGTTTATATTTTTTTAAATTAATTTAGCATGCGATAAACTTTTTTCCCTTATATGTCGAAATACTTAACAGACGATTGTGCCATGTTGGTAATTTCATATCGATACTAATAAAATATATCTATTCCATATCGCTACAGGTAAACTATTTAAGCATTGTTATCTCTCCGGGGTCTCTCCATATCTCTCCGGGGTTTGCTGAAAAGTTAAACAATTGTTACAAGTCGATTGAGCGCCCTCTTACTTCTTGTGAAAATACCTTTGTTATGCGATATCGTACCACTCTCTTTGTTCATATTTGTTCAAATAGTTTACCATATCCTATAACTGAATGTTCGTTGATTCACGTCATGGTCGTTAATTATCTCAGCATGAAAAGAATCCTTGAATATGCCATGTAATATTCAACAAAAGCAAACATGGTCTAACTGCTCGTAAAATGAGGTCTTTTATGGTTATGGTTTTTTCTAGATTGTTGCATTCGAAATGCTTAAATATATGGACAATGCAGTCGCTCAGCGATATCGTATGCCGGACATTGAAACCTCGACTGTGGCCAAGCAGCAGGTTGGCTATGCGCAGCGGTACATTTGTATTTTTATATTTAATCATTATAATTAGTACTTGTATCAGCATTAGCACTTTGTTACATTGTTTGTTTAGATGAGAGAAAGTGGGACAAATGTAAACATATGATGAATGCCTCGTGAAGCGCTGTTTATCAACGCGTCATACTTAAGTAGGACAAGAAACAGACAACCTCGCTAAATAATGACTGCAAAGCGCAGAAGTTGCAAAAACAGTGCATTCACAAAAACTTCGCTGACCACTGATAATCAAAATCTCTTCGAATTAATGACCAGAAGCTTCGATATAAATACTTTTTCACCATTTACTTCCTTGTTCCTAATTCACTCCAAGCTTAATTGTATTGATATAACTAGGTTTTAAATGCCGGTGACTGATTAACTTAATACACCCGAGGAGACACGTTGTTACGTAAGAACAACCTACGCGCTACATGTACGATGTGCAAATAAATCCAGTAAACAATACTAATGTTTATTAGTCATATATATAGTCGGTCTATATATAAAATAATAGAGTGTGAATAGCAAAAGCAATGTTCATGTCAGTTATTGATAAATATTGAATGGCGGCGAATTAAAACAACCGGTGATCTACTATTATTCCAATTATGTGCTACTTTTGTGAAATTTGTGTATACTATATACGTAGATGCGCGAAGGAAAAAAGAAAAAGGTTGGAAATCTCGGTACTCAACCTAATGTACTACCAGATTTTTTTTTTCCACACGTTCACTCCGAACAAACCTCTAGCAAGCAGAAACTGATGATAAGATAGTACTATATTTCTACTACGTTTTTTTACTGTTTTGACGCGATGGGATGAAAAAGAGTCCGAAAATTTTTGTCTTTCATATCTGATATGGGACCTTTTTAATTTCGATTTATGTGATAGTTGGACATTTTTGAGTCTTTTCATTTATTTATGAAAACCATCAGACTCGCCTTCACTGTTATTTTCCATTTTTCAAAAAAAAATTAACAGATCAATTTGTAAATTTCAAACAGCATGTCAATTCAGTTCGGTTGGTTAAATCAATTATAATTCCGATTTTTTTTCATCAACTTAACGTATATTTCATTAAATAACAATTATTCATTGAATCATTCCTTCAAGTAGAGATATTTTTGCTATTTTCTTGATGCGCGTCCCCTCGTCATTTCAGACGATAAATCTTCCAAAATTCTACGTTTTATAAATCATAAATTGTTGTGCTCAATTTATCATAAAACTTTCAATTTCAACAACAAAGACGGTTACTCAAGCTCTTTTATTTTGCCAATATTTACAAAATCACAGAGTACTGATGTGTCGTGTACATTTTTATAATTTACAACACTTCAAAGTTAAAGAATATTAAGGAAACAATGTAGTTAGTAGTCTATAGTCAGAGCAGAACTTTATAATACAAACATTGTATCTGTTTTTCCAATAATTTGAAACAAACATTCAAAACAAGTATAAACGACAGTAAACAACTAAAATAATATATCATATGAGTTTATTTATATTTTGTTAAGAATATACTACATTTGAAATAACTAATATCCATGCTACGTTATATGTTTGTTTTATGTAAAATGGATATTGAAATAAAATTTCCCCCAAATTTTTTTTGTAGGAATAGTTTATTCAGCATCAGCACAGTGAATCCGATCTATAAGAACCATTTCGATTTACAACCATTTCCACGCACAAAATGTGTTTCTGCTATTCAAATAAGTCGACGATATCTGAAACAAAAAGTTTCATTGTGGAATTTTAGGGATTATTTTAAAATTAGATAAAAGTAAATTCGTCTACTCGTATTGTTATGTTACAAAATATTTATTTAGATCGCGCAGACCAATACAAAAACTTGTATTAATTGGGTTTACGATCACATCTTGAATATAATATTTCTGCTGAACCAATTTCTTTGTTCAATGAAACTTATATAACTATATATGGAATCTTAAAGTATTTACCATCAAGCGTTTCCAGTTCTTCTTGACGTCGGAGATCACGTTTTACTAGCCCATTCCAGGTGCGACTAGAACGATGTCTTTATTAAAAAAAAGAGTGCATAATAATAAAAACAATAAACAGTAATGATATAATGAATAATCATAACTAGAAATTCATCTCAATTTTTCAAATGTGGCCCAAATACCCGAATTGAAATAGGTAAATAATCTTTATGAATTAATTATTTAAAATTTGTGTAATCAGCATTTTATTCTATGCTTCTATTGACAAAATGAATCCGAAGAAGTTTTATTCAATTCATTTTTGTAAAATGATGCTGTTGATTTGAACATCAACTTGATCGAAAAATTACACTCAATTAAGAAATAAGATTATTTGTTTATATACCTTCTTGCCAAATTTTCGCCCTGTGTTTGGGCACACTCGACAGTTGTTGTCAGCGTAAGAATGCAGCATACCAACAACAAAAGAGCTAGCTGTGTGCACTTATTCATTTTGTGATCAATTTTTGTTACACAGAAATTGGTATTTTAAATAAACTGTAAAATGAAAAGATTTAGAGAAATAATGCTGTAATATTTTTTCCTTTTTATTGTGGTTCAACTATTTTAGTATTATACGTGTTAACGAACCACATCGTTTCATATTATTCTATAAGAATGGTTAAACGATTCAACAATTTCAAAATTATTTGTTTTATGAACAACAAATGATATTTGGCCAACGTGGCTCTTAATTGTTGATGATGAATTTTATATAAAAAGGTTTGGTAGTATCTATAATGGTGATACTAAAAATCTGAAGTAACATCGGACGTTCAAATACGCTGAGGCGACAGCCACACATTTCGAATACAGCTATATACATAGTTAAATGCATACCAGACAATATTTTGCAAAGACCACGAAAAGATCAACACAGATCATACTGTGATACTCAGCAAAATTCGTATATGAGATATCGTTCGCTATCCAAGACTATTTATAGCTTTTCGAACCCATGAATACGGAAAAAAAGGCGTTGCGTAATACTTTTTCACGTGCATTGCTTTCATTTTATTTTTCAAAAAGATATCCGTATTTTTTCACGAAATTGAAACATTATTTTTTTTTTATTATTTTTCACGAAACCTTTTTATTGATGATACGTTGAAAGATTGACAAAATAATTATATCCAATAACCGACCCGTCGTCCCGCATTTGCCAGACACATCGCGTAAGAAGTTTTTGCATAACTCTGCCGCTAGTATATTGTTCCGGTATTAACGTAACAAAGATGGGAAATCACAATATTTCGTTCATTCCGTTTATCTATACTTATAGTCACTTTGGCAGAAAAATAACAATACAAATATGGAAACTCTTCGTAGATTTCCCGAAGATCGAATTTCCCGAAACCGTCCAAGAACCGACAGTTTGGGCTGAAATTATTATCTTATATATGATAATTTGGTTACTTGTAAACGTCCAATAAATAATTCTGAGTAAATGCAAATAAAATATATTGGAATCTGTCCTACAATTGTATTTAGTTAACACTGATTAAGGCAACGCAGGATAATCAGTAGTTTTTTTGGTATTCTTAAACCACGTAAATTTAATTTGTAGACTTTTGTTTGGTTTAATAACCTATTTTTTTTTGCCTCACTTTCAATCTCCAAAAAAGTCTCAAAAATGAACAGGTTACTTAGTTTGAAGTTTGCTATTTCATAATATCAATTTTAGAAAAAATCTGTTAAAATATCTATCTGCCAGTTAAAAAATGTTTATTCGTTTAATGAATTTCTCCGAAACCATTGTGATATTTTTAACCTATTATATCTTAAAATATACCTGCATCATGTTGCAATTTTCGCCAATTTTGTTTACCACAAAAAGCGAAATGTATGGATGGGTGGGGTATTTGACGTCAGATTTCCGTTATAAATTAAGTAAACAAAAATATATTCATTTATTTCTAGTTATTCTCATTCAAATAAATGCGCATCGAGGGGATATTGCATTGGTCTGTATTTTTTCAAATGGCGGCACTCGACTTTACATGATTGTGCAGAAAAATACATTTCTGAAAAAGTTAAATTCTTTACGAAAAACGATGGTCATTGTACCAATAAACAAATACATATAAACCAAACCACAGCGTTGCCAATTTTAGCATTAATTTCGTTAAAAAATCTCCAAAGCTAATAGGATTGCTTGAATTTAAAGAAACTAGTTATTTCTATGTTTGCAATCAATTTTTTTGAGCTAAATATTTTGATTGAACACAATTTATCAAAAGGGGTCTATTTCAACGGTTTTTCATAAACCTTAATTCGGTCCCCTAAAGTCTGATAAATATTGACTTATTGAATATTTTAAGTGTAATTCGATGCATTAAAGTTGTCAAAAAATAACCAAAAATTCTCTTTTTGTCGCTCCTCGCAAATCATAAATTATGATGTTGTCGCCAGATCATAACTTGAAATTTTTAATGTGTGACTAATTGGAAAATTTTTCTCTTTTTTACTGTAATCATATTTGAAAACAGCATTTTTCAACATAAATTGGTATTTTAGATCAAGAAAAAGTTGTACCTATCTTTTATTCAGAAAACCTTGTATGAAATCAAATAATTTTGAATTATATCTAAATATTATGTATTTGTTAATGAGGAAAATTATTGAAATAATACTTATATTTGGTAAATACAAGAAACTCCCTTTTCGAAAATTTGAAGTAAAAAAAAACTGATGAATTCTTGTAAACCTTAGCTACACCCTTGAGCTCTCGAAATTTCCGTTTACAGAGACATAAATTATTTTGACTGACAGCGTTATCTGTTCCAGACATCTTCTGCCTAATATGGTGATAGTCACGGTTTGCGTTAAGAAAGAGTGGCGTATAAAAATATAATACTTAAACCTAGCTTTTATAATATCGATGCTAACAGGTTTATAGTATCTTTGCAATCTTCTTTAATAGATAGCGTTTCAAGATGTATTTATCTGCTCTTTGTACCCTTGATGTAGATATATACCAAAACATAGAAACCAAGTTTTTAGCTTATCCGTAAGTTTATTTATCCATACAATGATATATAATTTGTAACAATGTATATGGGCACGCGTGGGTTGATCTATACAATTAGGTTATCAAAATATGTAATTGGCCTTATCTTAGTTAAAATCCTTTCATGTAACTCTTGAGTTCATTTTTATATTTTATTTCGCCGATTAGGTAAAGCCACATTTTTCTGGAAAAATCCAAAACAAATAATTCTTACGGCAAAAATTATCTGAATAATTTCTAGGCGTTGTCAATTGAGAAAGTTTTGATATAAGATAATCCGTAACAATGGTTTCTAATTGATATCTTTGTCGGGTTTCTTAGAGAAGGGTGCCTTAGATCGATTGTGATAAACTTTATAGATATTCGTTGAGTTCAACGTTGAGGTTCAAACTTAAGTAATATATGTTTACTTCTATGTGCACTTTCTAACCCTTTAAATCAGTGATTCTCAAGACAATTTTTGATGGGGCTTGTAGCTAATTAAAAATAAAAGTTTTTGTTAGATTTGATCCTGCCCGCCCTATTTTTCATGTTTACATTTCAAAACTTTTTTATTTATTTCATTATTTACGTTTCATTCACGTATTTTCAACGTAAATGAAATATACTTTTGCCTTATTATCTGTTATTTGCAGCTTATTGTTAGCTAGTTATTTTTGAGGTGGGGCGCGAAACTCGACAAATTCTAAAAAGGAGGCGAGGTTAAAATAATTTGAGAGCGACCGTTTTGAACCAATCATATTTTACTTCAATAACATATTTAAGATTTCCATCGATCAATTCAATTTTGTATTTCGAGGTGAAAAAGCTTACCATTCCAACGATTTATTGGAAATCGAGCATGCATATCGATCGTTTGTAAAATTCTTGTTGTTGTTGGGTGACTGTTTGGTTGAAATAAATTGCTTTCTTGTGTAAGTGATGGGTCAATCGATTTCACATTTTCATAACTCAAAAATGGAAGAAGCTGTTATTACCTGTAATTTTTTTTTTAATGTATCAGAGAACCGATATTTCAGAAATTTTGCTGCTTTATTCTAACACTTTTTATTACGTTTTTTCCGACCGCATCTGTATTACTTATCGTCCGCCGATATTTTCAACAAACTCGATGGTACCGATGTGCACCTTTCGTGTCAATATATTTTAGCATAGCTCATCTGTTTCTCACTTCTTGATTACTGAATTACTTAGTCAATCTATCCCAACTACTACAAAACTTTGATTAGTTATATACATGAACAAATGAAGCTAATATACCAAGTGAAAGTTGCCCGTCCTGATCTTCATGTCGAAATACATTTCCATACAGCTTTCTATCTTCAGTAACTCACACAATACATACAAAATATATAACTTCGCACAAGCAACCTACAATTAAAATATTTTGTCATAACACTTTTGACAACACAGATCAAAGTCTCCTAACGGAGATGTTGCTTTCGTTATGTACTAATCAGGGTGTTTTAAAATTTTATGCCATCTAATGGGGTTGTACGGAATTTATTTTAAGTTGCATCGACAAACTTGGAATTACCCGAAGTCGCAATTTTAGACCAAACGTTTACTCCCGCCTGTTCCGTTCTGCAAAATTATTCTCTTCACCTCGGGAATGAACATAAACGCAGAAATGATAATTTTCTTTAGATTGAATTCGTGTACCTTCAGTCAATAGTGTGTAATATAATGCATCGGTCAAATGCTGTGTTGATTTTGCTCCAACTCTGCCTCCTATTCTATTTTTGCGGAATTTACTCAGCCGCTGATTGGCTTCAAACCGGTGGCGCGGCCAGAGGGATTTTGAAGTCGAACCCTATCACTCACGGTTAAATTTTCGGAAGACGTTGCATAGGAATTTAAGATTCCGACTTTGAGTAAAATAATCGCGATTACGGCGTCATTGCGTAAGCGACTATGCCGTAATTGCTGACTTGGTTGTGGTCAATTACTCGCGAGCCTGACATCTATAGATATCAAGTACTCCTTCAAGTTTTGAACACTTATCAAAACGAATTTTTCTGGAGAGCTCGCTTAGATTTTTACCCTTTTTCATATACACGAGATATGCAAACTCAAACCGGTGAAACGTTTTTGTAATTTTATTTTTCCTCATGGTTCCAAGCAGTTTCTTGATGAGATATCCAGTCGTTCCATCTTGTTTAAATAGTAATTAGCATTAAATGTTGTACAAGTTTAAAGCACTTTCAAATATTATCAAATGTAATGTTAATAAATACAAATATTGTTTTTTTCGTGGAGTTTTCAACACTCAAATTTTATGAACTTTCTTGTTTGCATCTGTTGATACATATTCACTTTGTGGAGCAAGACTTCTACATATTCTCCAACCGTAAATTCTAAATTTGATCGTAAAATGAACACATCTATATTTTATTACAGCTACCATATTTTTGTTTACGAACATTGACCAACAACAAAAATTTACTTGGCCAACTAGGCTAGTCTAAATGCACTCAAATAAAATT